GGATGCAGAGTGGTGGTTCATGTGGGATGGCTGGGGAAGGCTTCTCTGAGGTGGTTTGGTTTGAATGTCATGGAATGGCAGGCTTGGGCCAATAAGTGCAAAAGCTCTGAGGCAGAAAGAGTTTGATATGGGAACTTGGAATAACACAGTATGAGTGATTGGAGAAACATGATGGCAAGAACTTGACATTTTATTCAGAGTATGTTACAAGCTATTGGAAGATTTTAAGGAGGAATGAAATAGTCTGGTTTGATTTTCTTTTTTATCCTCTCCAGAGGATATTTTTTCATTGATTTTTAGAGACAATGGAAGAGAGAGGGGGAGACACATTGATTGGTTGCCTCCCGCACATACCCTGACCAGGGCTGGGGATTGAGCCTGCAACTAAGGTATATGCCCTTGAACAAATTTGAGCCTGGGGCCCTTCAGTCCGTGGGCTGACGCTCTCTTCACTGAGCCAAACCAGCTAGGGCTGGTTTGATTTTTTAAATCACTGCTTGGTAGAGAAGGGATGTAAAGGAAACAAGGAGATGGGGGGAGAAGGTAAGGAAATGGGCCCCAGGATGGCCAGGCTCAGGGAGAACAGGGTCAGTTAGTCCTGTAGAGGTGGGAGACATTCCAATATGGCCACCGAATCTAGGCAGTTGGATGTAGGTAGGTCAGGGTTGTGGAGGAGACTCACTTTGGGGGGTGAGGGTTTGCTTGGAGGTCCCAGAAGTTAGAGGTGGGTATTTCCTCCAGCTCCCCCTATTTTCTTCTCCAGATGATGCATTTGAAGCTCTGCGCATTGAGCCCTTCTCCAGCCCTCCAGAGCTGCCCGACGTGATGAAGCCACAGGACTCAGGAAGCAGTGCCAATGAACAAGCCGTGCAGTGATTGGGCCTGGGCCCGCTCCTCCCCAGTGCCCCATCCCCCCCCCAATAAAAGATTTGGGTGTCTGCCTGGTTGCTGCCTCTTTATGCGCACCCTCTCCTGATTCAAGGCATCATCCTCACCAGGATGGGCTCACTCCTTGCGAGACTCCTCTCCAGCCTCTCTTGCTTGCCAGGCTGGCCTGCTGGACCACAGGTTCTCTGTGCTCATCAATCCATCCCCAGCCCAGCCTGTCCCTGAAAGGCCATGGGGAGAGAACTGGGAGAAACCCAGGGCCCCAGGCTAGTTTTTTTCAGCCTGCTCCTGCCTAGGGGCAAAAGGTTTGAGGCTTTGTTCGTTCCCAATCAATAGTCCCCTTTGCTGCTTCCCCCTCCACCTCTGCACACTGGCTTCCAGGCAGGTACCTCTTTCCTGCTCAGAGACCAGAAGCCAAAGTGTAAGCCAGAACCAGTGTGTGGCTTCAGAGCGGTCTATGTGGAACCCTGTAGTCACTAGAAGGGGCAGCTCTTCTCCCTGCCCTTCTCCACCCTCTAATAAACAGTCTGTAGACCCAATTCCTGCATTTCTCATTTTTATTTGACAGAAAAAGTTGCTCTTGCTGTACAGATTTTAAAAAACCAAAATGCCTTTAAGAAATGTGAAGAAAAGTTGGGGGGAAGGGGCCACAATCTCACTGGGGGGCAGTAAGGGCCAACTAATTTTAACTCCTGCCCCTTTCCATAACATACAAGTTCCCAAGTCCCAAATCATCACCTCCCCCTCTTCCCTGAACTCAGGAGTAAAGGGGGGACAGTGCCACCCAGGCCCTTTTTGACTCAAGACTGAAGGAATCCTGAACTCTATTTCCTCCTCCAGCAACTCCCATTCTTCCACCCACCCCCAACCCCCCAAAACATGTGAACCAGAAAAACTCACAGATTAACGTTTCACAGGAACCAAGAAAAAAAAGGGGGGTAGAGAAAGAAGGGAACCCCCTCAAAATGCTGCCAGGGTTCGGAGGGGACAAGCACCCCCACACACACACAGCTGTTGGGGAGAAAGGGGGCACTCCCTGTGGCTCCAGAACTTGGGGTGTGGTGGGATTCCCCCCAAAAAACACTCATGGAGACCTGCAACAGAGAAGAATGCCATTAATGCAGAGGTCTCAGGCAGTCAGAGCTCTCAGAAAAAAAAGGCTCAGTCCTGGAGCACAATGAAACACACCTGGAGGAGCGGTGCCGCACTGGGCGGGGGCTAGGTGTCTCCCTCCTGCGCTTGTGGCCTGGGGAGCGGCTGTCCCCACGCTGACCTCTCCGGGAACCATGCTCACTGCTGCTGCTCCTGCAACACACGACATCAGATCACATACACACCCCAATCTCTTGCATCTTTAAGCCTGAAAACTTTTTTTTGCAGATGTTGACCAAATTGGGCTGGCTACTGGCAAGAACACACTAGTGGCCCTACCTCTGTTGGTCCTGTGGTGAGGGCTGGGGCGAGGGGTGTTGGCGCTCGGCAGGTGAATAGCTAAGGGACCGCGAGTCCCGGAGGGAGTCTATTGGCTTCCGGGGGCTGCGGGACCTAAAGAGCAGAGAAGGTCCCCATAGTGCCACATTCTTCCAAACCCACCAGCCAGCACTCAGGACCGCCCCCCAGGTCTTGACCACCAAACCTCATACCACACAGGGCCAGCCTCAGACCCACCTTCGTCTGCTCACTCACCCATCCGCCCGTATACCATCCACCGAGTGCCCCAGTGGGCAGGGCATGGGGATGGGACGGTGGGGGACACAAAGGTAAAGACAGTGCCTGCCCTTGGAGGGGCTCAGTCTGGTGATGAAGGAAGGCCAAGAGGCACGCTCAGCCTCATGTGTGGGAAGCAGCCCCACAGGGACTGATATAGGTAGATCTGGGGACTCAGGGGAGGGAGATGAAGGGAAGGGGCAGGGTAGTCTTCTCGAAGGTGCTGTTTGAGCGGAGTCTTGCAGAACGAGGAGTTCACCAGGCGGACAAGGGAATTCCAGGCAGAAGGAACAGCATGTCCAAAGGCATGGGGTTCTCCTTAGACTGCAAGGCGCTGGGAGTGGCTGGAGCAGAGGGCATGTGTGGGGGCGGGCAGGAGAGGAGAACACAGGGCAGGCAAGGCCAGTTGGTGGAGAGCCTCACACGCTATTCCCGCAGAGATGGGGCTTTATCCTGCAACCACAGGGCGTCCCAGAAGGATTTGTGTAGTGGAGGGAAGTCAACCACATGTGCGTTTTAGAAAGATCCCTCTGGCTACATGTGGAAGAGAATGGCGTGGAGGCAGGGAGACAGGGAAGAGGCTGTGGACAGAGTCAGGAGAAGATGACGGTGGCCAGACCAGAGCCCTGGCAATAGCAATGGGGAGACTTAAAAGCTAGAATCCCTGGGACCAGGGACCAGGCTGCATGTCAGGGGCAAGAGAAGGAACCTAGGACTCCCCAATTTTGGCTGGGGCACCCACTTGGATGGCGCAGCCCTTGTCAGAACAAGGCACAAGAGTTATGTGGGGAGAAGAGATTCTGACTCCTCCCATACAACCAGACACCAGAGTCCCTATGAGACACCCAGCAGGGATCTCACACTTCCAGGGTCACATCCCACCCCTACCATCTCAAGCAAGGTAGCACTCACCTCCGCTCGCCAGGGGGTGGCTTCTTGGGACTTGCAGGTTTGGGCAAGGCCTGAGGGTCAGGCTTAGCAGGGGAAGGAGAGGATGTAGAAGACGAAGAGGAGGAGGAGGAGGAGGAAGAAGAGGAGGAGGAAGAGGAGGAGGAAGAGGAAGAGGAGGAAGATGAGGAAGAGGAGGAGGAAGAGCTGGAACTGGAGCTGCTATCACGCCTCTTCCTCTTGGCTGGGGTTGGTTCCTGAGGTCGTCCCTCTCGTTCAGTCTCTTTTGGGGCTGGGGGAGGAGTAGGGACCCTGTAGGAAGAGTATAATGTCACAAGGAGAGACAAGCTGCCCCAACCCCAACCCTACCTTCCAAGACCGGGAGGAAGGGCAGTGGGGGAGGGGGGCTTGAGAAAGGTCCTGGGAACTCTCCCAGCCAAAGCCAGAGAGCCAGTGACCCAGTGAGCATATTCTCTGGAGAGCAGTGGCCCCAAGCTGACCCAACCTCTGCTAACATAAGCAATAGGCTGGGGGTCCGCAGCACAAGGGATCAAGGTTAAACCTCAAGAATGTCCCTGATGAAGGAATACAGCCCCTGGGCTCAGGTGTGGGTGCAAAGCTGGGTGGTCTCCTTCCTTGGAGAGCCAGCTTGGGTAGGCTCCTGTGTGTGTGTGCGCTGGCTGGGGGAGGAGCTGTCCTGCCTGGAGGCAGGAAGAGGGATGGGATGACCTCTGAAGATCCTTCCAGCCCAGGGAGTTCCTCTTGAGGTCTAACTGCCATCCCTCCTGCTGTAAAATTAAGTCCATTTCCTCTAGTTCTGTCCTCTGTAGAGATGGAAAACTTATCATTATCCTCTAGAGAATTAACCTTTGGAGATTTTTCTGTCCCATTCCACCCTCCAACACCCCCACCCCACATTCTCTCTATTCCCAGCTTAATGGTCAGGTCCCCATACCACCTAAACAAGCCAAGAACCCTCTGGATAGGGCGTTCCCTTCCCCATCCCGACCCATCCTTTACAAAACCTTCCCCTTGGAAAAGTTCTAAAAGCCAAGTCCCCTTACCTCTTCAGTGCCACCTCGGGTTGAAGGGGAAGGCTAGAGCCCTCCGAGTCACTAGAACTGGAGCCAGAGGAGGAGGAGGAGGAGGATGATGATGACGATGACGAGGAGGAACTAGATGAGGAGGAGGAGGAGGAACTCCGCCGCTCCTTTGCTGGCTGCAGGGCCCCCGTAGAGGCAGGTGGTTCCCCCCCCTCAGGGTGGGACCCCCCAGGGGCAGGGACAGAGAGCATGCCATTGTGGTCACCAGCAGAGGATGTGGTCTTTGCCACTGACCCAGAAGAGAGGGACTGAGATCCTGCTACAGTGGTCGTTGGGGCAAGCAAAGATCGGGATTGGTCAGAAAGAGCAGATGGCACAGGGGACCTAGGCCGATCCTGAGCTGGAGGGAGAACAGACTGTGAGGGAGGAGCCTGAACCATTCTAGAAACCGGAGAGGGAACCCGCTCAGAGGTCATTCTAGACTGGCTTGGGGCAGCTGGTGGGGTTCTGGAGCCTGGGCCTCCCGGTGGGGTTCTAGACCTGGCTCGGTCAAGGAGCGGTGGTGAGGTTCTGCCACTAATGCGCTCATAGGCAGAGAGGGGCACCCTGGGGCTGGTGAGGTTTGCACCAGACAACGCTGGAGCCATTCTAGCACTGGTGAGGCTTGCAGGGGCCAAGGATGGCGGGGTTCTTGAGCTGGCAATATTCACAGGAGCTGTGGCATGTGTAGATCTAGGACCCACCAGGTTTGCAGGGGTTGGTGCCTGGGGTGTTCTGGAGCTGGATGGATAGTTTGCAGCGTTTGGGGGTGTGCCAGAGCCTGAGAGACTCAATGCTGCCAATGCCGCTGGGGTTCTGGCTCCTGGTAGGTTCACAGCTGGAGCTGTAGGGGTGCGCGGGTCAGCGAGGTTCACAGCAGATGGTGTGACTGCTGTTCTGGGGCTGGTCAAGTTCATGGCTGCTGCTGCAGCTGGTGTTCTCGAGTCAGCCAGGTTCACGGCTGTTGGTATGGCAGGTGTCCTGGCACTGGCCAGGTTCATGGCTGCTGCAGAGGCTGCAGGAATCCTACTGGCAAGGCTGGCAGCTGGGGCTGTTCTGAGACTCATGAGAGGCACTGGAGCAGGAACCTGGGACATTCTTGCAGCAAGGCCTGCAGCAGACATGGATGGAGGTGGCCGAGCAGTGCCAAGACTGATGGCTGTCAGTGCAAGTGCAATTCTAGACTGAGCATGATTTTCTGGCACAGATGTTCTAGGGTGATCAGGAATTCGGGGACCTGGACCATCCATCATGGAGCCACCAGCTTGCTGCAGAACAGACATGGGTGTTCTAGAGCTGCCAAGGGGTTCAAGCATTCCAGGAGATCTACAGCGGTCAAGAGGAGTTGGTGACATGCTAGGACGACTGAAGCAACTCAT